TGATGCCTCTCTCCACAGAGCAGTGCAATGAAATACAGGCAGTCCCTGGGTTACGGGAGGGGGAGCGGCTTTTCTCGCCCCGGAGGAAGCGGGCGGCGGGACCAGGCATCCCGCCGCTCCAGTCCTCCGGGGCGAGAAAATCCCTGTTCGTAACTGCGGATCCGACATAAGTCAGATCCGCGTAACTCGGGGACTGCCTGTACTGAAACAGACCCCATTATCCAACAGACTGATTTGTTTGGCTGTTTGAAAGAACAACAGAGACTAAAAATGCTTTATAATGTTTCATTTTAAAGACAAATTAACTATCCATTTCTGTCAATCTGTAAAAGACAAGACAATCCTCATTCAGTAGACAGCTCCAGGCGACATGAGTCTGAATCACTATACAATTACAACTAAGATACTTCTGTATAGTTCTCATCAACAGACAAATTGGTAATCAGTGGTACTAGGCATAGAAGTTAATTTGAATTCACAGCAATAGCAGCTTTACAAAGGATCACTGAAAAAGTACACCATTATGATAATTACGAATAAAGTATGGTGACATCATGCTAATCAATTATTCTCCTTTTATCACCAATTCATGTTCTGTGACCTCTGACTCAAGTCACTTTTGTTATGATAGAAAGGACACATGAGCAGAGTCCAGGAGCCAAAACTTCCCCTACTACAGATAACATGAAGCCTTTGTGGTCATGGAAGGAGATGGCAGCAAACCCAAACATATTAGGATATGACACTGCATCCAAACAGAAAACAGTATTTTCATAATACTCTTTTTTCATTTCTCTTTAGAAAAGTGGTTTCCAGCCTTTTTTATATTGCAGACCGGCAAACCCATTCACAAACTTTCAGCACACTAATAACATTTTATTTGAGTATTTGCATATTCTTTATGCCCTGGGGGCCGGGGCTTTTTATACCACAGACCGGCAAACCCATTCCAAAACCAGGAGTCCACCAAAAGTTTTGGAATGGGTTTGCCAGTCAGTGGTATAAAAAGCCCCGGCCCCCAGAGCCCTCCAGTACAGGCCCTAATCTCTAGAGCCTCTCACCCTCCATTCCCCCAGCGCCAGCCAATGACCCCAGAATCCCTGTACTCAACCCTCCCCCCCCCCGTGCCAACCTCCTGCCCTCAGAGTTCCCCAATGCCAGCCCCACAGCCCAAACACCTCAGTGCCAGCTCCCCACCCACTAGAGCCCCCCACAACCAGACCCCCCCGTGCCAGCCTCCTATTTACAGAGCCCCCCAGGACTTCCCCAATGCCAGCCCCCCATCTCCAATATTAGCCCCAGTGCAAGCCTTGCCCCTGTATCCCACTCACTAGTAGCCCTGCCCCAGTGCCCTCCAGTGCCAGCTCTCCACCCTTGATGCCCAAGTGCTCCCAGTGTCAGCCCCCCGCCTCTTAGAGTCCCCCAGTATTAGCTTTGACCCCAGAGCCAGTCCCCTTAGCTGCAAACTGTGAACTGGAGCCACTAGGAGTCGCGAGGCTCAGTGGCCGGGGTGCCGGTACATAAACTGGTGCAACCATTTAACAGGTTTCTCAAAGTGGTTTTGTGAACCACTTTGGGAAATACTGGTGTAGAGGGAACTGCCAACCATTTTGAATAGCTTGCAGCTCCATCTACGTGCTGTGTGCCTCTGGCAGCAGAGGGGGAGGAGACATCTTATGCTACCCCACCCCAAGCCAATCAGGGTCTGGGGATGGGAGAGGGCACAAAGTTTCTCCCTCCTGTCCCCTCTCCCCTCCCCAAGGTGGGCTGCAGGCCAGATCAAATGGCTTTGTGGACCAAATCCAACCCATGGGCCAGATTGTGCCCACCCCTGCCCTAGGCTGTGAACCAACTTAATCTGAGAGTAAATGCCTTTGATAATAGAAAATGCTATAGAGATATGGTCTTCAAAGCAGTTGCTCTTTCTTAACAACGTAACCTCTGTTGTGCCCAATTTCATCATTAGTGACTTGCTAATATTAACTCGGCGTTGAGAACATTGGGGGGATAAAATGCTATTTGGCTGCGTCTAGACTGGCAAGTTTTTCCGCAAAAGCAGCTGTTTTTGCGGAAAAACTTGCCAGCTGTCTACACTGGCAGCTTGAATTTCCGCAAGAACACTGACAACCTCATGGAAGATTGTCAGTGTTCTTGCGGAAATACTATGCTGCTCCCGTTCAGGCAAAAGCCCTCTTGCGCAAATGCTTTTGTGCAAGAGGGCCAGTGTAGACAACGTGGTATTGTTTTGCACAAAAAAGCCCCGATCGCAAAAATGGCGATCAGGGCTTTTTTGTGCAAAACCGCGTCTAGATTGGCACGGACGCTTTTCTGCAAAAAGTGCTTTTGTGGAAAAGCGTCCATGCCAATCTAGACGCTCTTTTCCGAAAATGCTTTTAACGGAAAAACTTTTCTGCTAAAAGCATTTGCGGAAAATCATACCAGTCTAGACTTAGCCTTTGTGTTTTCTGCATAGGAAATGTAGACTTGGGCATTGTTTGCATACTCATAATGCAGACCTTTTTTTTTTTTTTTTTACCAGCTCTCTCAATGGCTTTAAATGTATATTTTTTGAATAATATGGAGGAAGTAACAGTATGCACAAGATGTTTACACAAGAAAGCTCCATCAGTTGGAGTAATTTCAAACTACTAAAGTTAAACTGCTGCAAATCCCCACATGGACACTTATCTCAGTTTAAGCAGACTTATTTTGGGTTAACTTATTTGATCGAGCATAGATTTAAAATATATTTAAATAAGTCACCCTTAAACCCAAAGAAAAGTGTGCAAGCAAGTGGTTTCTACATTTTAACTAAATTGGTTTAAAAACTGAAATAATTTGAATGGGTTCTATTTTCCTGAGTAGACGAGGCTAGAGTTGCAGGGGTTGGCATTGGACTTCCATAATGATTATAAGTTTCCAAGGATACCATGGGCTGAACAAATGAGAAAAGCAGGCATTACCATACCAAAGCAAAACACTGATCTACTCAGTCTAATATCCTGTCTCCAGGAGAAATCAGTGATTGGGGGGAACAGGGTGGCAAGTGGGTGAACAGAGTGACCAAGCTGGCCGAGCAGGAGAAAAGTGATTTGGCAGGTAGTGTGAGAGAAAAGGGGAGAAACAGAGATGATGGGGGTAGGAGAGATGGCAAAGACGAAAGTGCAAGAACCCTGGCAGCAGACAATTTTGGAATAACCTACCCAAAGGGAAAGTTTCTTTGTAACTGCAGCATGTTAATAACTGTTCATGCACTGAAAATGAGAGTGTATATTTCTTACCTTTAGTCTAATGTAACTGTCTTGAGGACTACTACTAGCCTCGCCACAGTGATCTCTTGTGGGTGTGAGTCCCGGCACTTAAGTGTTGTGTAAAAAAGTGTTTGTGAGTTTTCAGCATGTTGGTGTTCAGACCCGTTACAACAGCGACAAGTGAAACACGAGAACCGCGCACTAACGCTTACCCTGAAACGATCATCTAGGTGCTAAAGTGGGTAAGATGCGGAGCGAAGCACAAGCTGCATCGTGACATGAGCAAAGGCCAACGTCACAGCAGCAGGGGAGCGAGCGAGCGGCGGGGCGCGTGCAATGACTTGGCAGGTGGCACGAGAGGCCGGGCAGGCAGAGATGAGCACACAGCCCTCCAGCCCGCCCCACAGGATGCAGGGGCTCTGGTGACCCTGTGGGGGAAGAGGCTGGCGGCTGCAGCATCACCCCATGGAAGGGACGCCGAGGGCGCTCTGAGGGGAAATGGCGGGCTGGGACACGCTCCGACCGCCCTGCCCTGTGGAGGCGGCAATTTCTTACCCGCTTCAGCTATCTCGCGCAACCCACTCTATGTATCAGCCAATCATCAGGCAGAGATCAGTGTCTCCCGCTTTGATTGGATAGGATGTGGGAGCTGCTGCCCAATAGGAGTATCCTTGTATGCGCTGTCCGGCGCGCGGCGGAGGCCGGGTTGTGATTGGCCAGGCGGCATGGGCAAGATGGCGGCTGCAGCGGTTGTGCTCGGTTTGGGAAGCTGCGATTTTTCTGACCTGCGAGAGATCAAGAAGCAGCTTCTGAGCGTAGCGGAGCGGAGCCGCGAGCGGGGCCTGCAGCATAGCGGGAAATGGTGGGGGCGGGGCGCCAGGAAGGGCGGGAAATGCTGGGGTCTCGGGGCTGTCCGCGCTGGGGGTCGCTGCTGCTCGCGGGGCGGGGAGGGCTCTGCTGGCTGGCTGGGTTGCGGGCTGTGGGCCTGGGCTGAGAGGTGAGGGCTGCGGGATGCTAATTTCTTCGAGGTCTCTTGGTTTCAGGGCCTCCGAATTGGCATTTGCCCTGGATCCTCTGCCTCTGAGCGAGCTGCCTGCAGTTCCTGCGCTCACAGAGGTATGGATGGCAAAGCTGATGACACTGGCCAACGAGGAGCCATCTCTCTCGAGTGTCCTCTCCTCAATCCAAACTATTTTTCCTTTAATATGTTAATAGTGTTGTGTGAGGAAACCTCAAGGTCTGGTAGTGCGTCCTTCAATGCTCCAGTCAAAAGATTCAGGCGGTAGCCAAGCTCATGATACCATCTACATGTTTTGTTAGTCTTTAAAGTGCTACCAGACTATTTGGTTTTTTAAAGTTTATCCAGTCAAAAGTGGTAACCCCATCTTGACTACCTGTGCATTAGGACTGCTAGGGAGTGGCCTCTGCTGTAATACAACTAAGATAGGGGACCTTCTTATCATGCTGATATTCCTTGACCTGATTGCAACACCATCCAAGCGTATAGCGAACATAGTAACTCAAATGTATTTCAAACTTGTGTCCAGAGTTTTATTCTCATTCAGAAAGTGTTGGTTTAGGGCAGTGGTCCCCAACCTTTTGAGGTTGCCGGGCGCCAGGGGGCGGGGACATAGCCCGGGGGCAGCCCCCTCCCCCCCATAGCCGCGCGCCCGGGGGCGGCCCCCTCCCCCCCATAGCCGCGCGCC